AATAAGAATTCCCTGCACACACACAGGCTGTGCTTGCCTGCTCACAGAAAGAGTGGATCATGGTCATGTTGGTCAAGGCTCTCTCTGGCAGGTTCAGCAACTGAGGGAGCTGACTCCAGTGTGATCAACCTGCGCTGTCAAACCCGGTGCATGCGTGCGGTTCATTTGCAGTCTGGACGCTGAGGGTAAACATGCTGTGTATCTGACTGTAGCGCTGAGAGGGAGAATGGGGTTGGGACGGGGGGGAGGCGCCCCACGGCAGACACCAGAAAAGTCGCTAGATTCGTCACCAGTCGCTTTTTTGAAAAAGAGTCGCTGGAGGGGTCTGAAAAGTCGCTAAATATAGCGACAAAGTTGCTGAGTAATTACCATTTGCTCACATTGTCGTTGATTCTTTATAGTCTTTTGTTTCTCCATTTAGATTGTTAATGTAATGTAAAAAAAAATGTTATGGTTCAAAATGTTCATGTTTTAGCAAGTTAAATAAAAAAAAGTTGAAAAAAAAAAAATATATATATATTATGCAAATTAGGCTATGACGTCATTCAGCGACTTCTAGCACATCCAATAGTTACTTTCCTTACTGAGGAGTTGGCAACACTGTATGAAACTTGTTGAATCCTCAGATAAAAAAATAAGTGTACAGACGTCTGCTTTGCAATAAAAAAAATAAATAAAAAAAACCTTGTCAACGTCCAGGACATCCAACACCAACCTGAGAACTCACATTCAGGTGAATCACTAATTTCCCTCCTACAGTATGCAAGTAAAAATATCTAGGTCAGTGTAAATTCCTACTCACTTTAGCCAAATGCTGTATGTAAATTAGTAAAACGAAAGCTACCAAACTACCAACAAGAAGTGTGTGATGGAAAGGGACTAGCCAAATGGCTAAGCAGAAGTGTTAAAAAAAAAAAGAGTGATTTTCAAGGTTCTTGGCCATAGAGAGCTCATGTGGCCAAGATTAGCCATTTGTTTTACATAGCCTAACACTAATTAAAACAGTCAACTACAGTATATTTTTTGAAATAAAAATTTGAAAAATATATCAGCTTTAACTTTATTGGCACCTTTAATTTCCAGATAGTTCAATCTGATGTGTGCCACTAAGATACTCTAATTAGAGAGCAGTATTGAAACTTCGATATTGTAGATAGGCTGTACAGGTGCGAATTGAAGAGGAACACTGTACAAATGTTGGGATGGTACAGTAAGGTTTGGATAGAGGGGAAGGAAAGACTAGTCTTTGGGAAGAGTTCAATAAGGTGACCGCTGTAGGAAAGAAGTGGTTTTTGAAGCTGCTTGTGTTAGTCTGCAAACTGCGTAAATGGTAGAGCCTGGGGGAGGAACAGAAAAGAGTATGGCCCGATGAGAGGAGTCCGAGAAAATCTTACATGCCTGGTGCTGGCATCTCTTCTTGTGGACATCCTGTGATTGCCTGTCAGCAGTTCCCTCTCAGCTTAGTGCTTTTTTAAGGTTCACATTCAGTTCTCAAAAATTAAATGTTGAACATGGGTCAATACTGATTAAAACCTAATCAAAAGTAATTAGTTACATTATTTTTTTAAAGTAATCGAAAAAGTTACACTACAATTACATTTTAAACAAGGTAACTTGTAACTGTAACGAATTACATTTTCAAAGTAACTTACCCAACACTGCTGGTATGTTTAAATGCTTTTCAAAGTGGAAAAAAGTCCTCATTCCACATTGTACAGAGCCAGTGATGCTTCAAACATTGATAAACAGCATCTAGTGTGTGTAGTGCTTATAAGATTTGAATTAATGTAGCAATAAATGCTGTTGTTCTCCTTAAACAAAATGTGCCCTGATGCTCACATTAAGCATAAAAAGAACATGCATATTTGTGCATAGGACCAATGACATCAGACCAATGAAACTGAAGACCAATGGCGTCCCTACCAAAGTTGAAATCAAACCTACGCCCTTGGAACAAAGAAAAATGTGTTTACATAGTCTACTTTAATGTACTAATTCAAACATTTATGCATGTCTATAGACAGTTATCTTACCCCATATATATTCATATCAATAAAACTTATGCTTAAAACACAAACTGCCCATTTGTTGTTCTGTTCAGCTGCTTTATAAACGAACTACATTGAACTTGATACAGTTGATCATAATATTATTTTAGCAAGACTTGAATATTTTGTTGGAATTAAAAGAACTGTAGTAGACTGGTTTAAATCTAATCTATCTGATCGATTTCAGTTTGTTCACTTTAATGATACATCCTCCTCATGCTCAAAGGTTACCTGTGAAGTACCACAGGGATCAGTGCTAGGACCAATTCTCTCTACTATATATATATATGCTCCCAATCAGTAGAATTATTAGACAGCATAGGATTAATTTCCAGTTATGCTGATGATACCCAGCTATATCTGTCTATAAATCCAGATGAAGCTAACCCATTACATAGATTACAGGCATGTCTTGAAGACATCTGGATGACTCTTAACTTTCTGCTTCTGAATGCAGAAAAAACAGAAGTTATAGTCTTTGGACCAGAGTCTTTGAAAAACAAGCTGATTTCAGAAAATAAAGTAAAAAATCTTGGTGTTATTTTTGATCAGAATCTGTCATTTAAATTCCATATCAAAGAGGTTTCTAGAATTTCCTTCTTTCATCTGCAGAATATTGCAAAAACTAGAAATATCCAGTCCAGAGAGGATGCTGAGAAACTAGTCCATGCCTTTGTTAATTCAAGGCTGGACTATTGTAATTCTTTACTATCAGGAAGTCCAAAAACTGTAGTTAAAAGTCTTCAGCTGATCCAAAATTCTGCAGCCAGAGTTCTGATGAAAATTAAAAAGAGAGATCATATCACTCCTATCCTGGCTTCTCTTAATTGGCTTCCTGTTAAATCCAGAATAGAATTTTAAAATCTGTTAGGATTCCAGTTTGTGTGTGTTGTTTGTTTTTCTCTCTCCACCACCAGGTGGTGCCCCGTCCTCGTTGGGCCTCCCTGCACACACGCGGCTCGTTGGATCATTACTGGAGGAGTATTTGAGCAGTGGGCTGTCACTACCTCGACGCCAGAGTGTTTGCCAGTTTTGGGTACTCTAGCCAAGTCTAAGTCTAACCTAAGCTTTGTTTCTCTGAGTCTTATCTAGTTTTTGTCTTTGCTCCTCAGCAGGAAGCCTTCCTGAGTAACTAGATACCTGGACCTTCTCCCCCTGGAAGGATTTACTGGGTACACACTGAGCAGGGGAAAACCTCCACATGATCCGTTCAAGTCCTCTTCGGAAATCCCAGTGAAAGTCCGCTCCTTGACTCCTCTGGGTTCGACGCTTGCCTATCTGTCTGCCCTTCAAAGAGTTCTCTCTTCTCTGGATTAACCCCCACAAACTGGATTCAAGGATTGACAAGAGCCCCCTCAAACGTGAGTCCCTCTCCATAAAATTGAAGCCTCAGTCAAATTTCCTACGGTCCCTGAACTGATCACTGTGATCTCCCCTTCACACTTTCCTGTTCCGGTTCACCAGTCCACTGAGTTCCAGGTCCTGTTATTCATCTACATTTAATAAACCTGTTAAACTTTTTCCTTTGGTCTCTGAGTGGTTCTCTGCATGTGGGTCAGATCGCTTAAACCAATCATGACAAAATCCTCCTTCTCACATATAAAGCCTTAAATAACCAAGCTCCATCTTATATCAGAGATATGATTGTTCCTAACAGAGCACCTCACTCTCAATCTGCAGGTTTACTAGTGGTTCCTAGAATTTCTAAAAGTAGAATGGGAGGCAGATCTTTTAGTTATCAGGCTCCTCTCCTGTGGAACCAACTACCAGTTTTAGTCCATGAGGCAGACACCCTGTCTACTTTTAAGGGCAGGCTTAAAACTTTCCTTTTTGATAAAGCTTATAGTTAGAGTGACTCAGGTTATCCTGAGCTATCTCTATAGTTATGCTGCTATCGGATTAGACTTCTGGAGGACATAGGTATCCCCATTTCATAATTTTCTTTCATTCCATCTCTATTCTTCCACTCTGCTGAATCTGTTAGTTCAATCTCTATTGTTCTGCTTTTTCTCATAGTCGCTTTGCCTCGTCTGTTCCTGTTTGGCTGTGACGCCATCCTGGAGAGAAATATCAGCTGTGCTGCTGCCATCAACACCTTAGTTCATAGATGTAGGATATCGGCCTGTTTTTTCCAGTGTAGTCCTGTTTCTCTGACTGTGACTGGCTGGATGTGCCCCCTTCTTCCCCCCCCCCCATCTTTGTGATGTATTGTGACGGATGGTTTGTACTGAAACTGTAATTTCCCTCTGGCATTATTAAAGTATGTCTGATTCTGATTCATCCTCTGGCATAGGAGCTGGCTCGGAGCTCGTCTGCCTGGCTTTGTGTTTCCTGGACGGGGCAGCCTTTTACAGTTGCTTTGTATCTCTGCTTCTGTATCCTTGATCCCCAGACGGCCTCAGCAGATGGCCGCTCACACTGAGCCTGGTTTTGCTGAAGGTTCCTTCCTGTTAAAGGGGAGTTTTTCCTCTCCACTGTCTCTACATGCATGCTTAGTGCGAGGGATTGCTTTTTAGTCAATTGGTTGATCAACTGATTTTCCTTCAATAGAAAACTGCCTTGAGATGACATGTGTTGTGAATTGGCGCTATATAAACTGAATTGAATTGAACTGTTTTAGCCTCTGATAATATCTCTAGACTAGAAAAATAAATTAATCTACATATATTCCCACCTAACATTTTTATTTATTCCTCCAGTGCTTCTTGCTTTGATGCTTTCGGCGGTTCTGTCAGGGACCGTATTTCTGGGTTGGGCCCCAGTGTTTCCAGATCCTGGGAATGAAAAAAACAAACAACCAAAAAATAAACAAAACAAAAAAGCAACATGAAGCACATAAAGGGTACAGGAGGTTGAAAGCAACAGACAGCAGCAGGCCTGTTATCTTAACTGCTCATATTTTGCCAGCAGGGCAGTACATCCAGATTATTGTGTGACTGAGTGCGCGCGCTCCTGTCCTCTTCTGGTGCGCATCGGCACACGCGCGTCCATGGAGCGCTCCCGCAGCTTCCCGCAGCTTCACCGCCTCGGAAAGAGGATTTTAACAGGAAATTTGGACTCAGTCCGCCTCTCTGAGATAATGGCTCCCCGTTCGTTACGGTCCGTTCTGCATTAAAGAACCTCCCCGGTATCATTCCTCAACTTTTATTTTTTTTTCTAACCACCCCCCTTCACTTTAAGGGGGGGGGGGGGGGGGGGGGGGGTGCGCTCCGTTTCCCTGGAATTACAGCAGCTTGTGGTTCATCCTAGAGGCAGGAAGAAGGGGAATCCCTATGGATGAGGCAAGCGGACAGGAGATGCCGCAGCTGGGTATCCGACACCGGGATGGAGCCACGATGCGCCAGCGGAGGGTGAAAGCGAGGCGGAAACGGCGAAAGGAGCTGCTTTTCATCCAGATCTTTTTGTTCGGAGGATTCCTGCTCGCTGCGAAGGGCTTCACATACTTAAAGGAAGATCCAGGTGAGAGTTGAGGATTAAATCTAATAAGAATCATTTTCCTCTACTTTAAACCACAATGTCTGTTTCTTTCTGAATGAACGAGAAGAAAAATCATGAGACACAGCTTGTCATCAGTTATACGATTAAAATAATCATATAAAAATGGAAATTTAAAGCAGAGGTGGTGAAATTAAAAAAAAAAACTTGGAAAACAATTCTATAGTTGTAAAGTTTACATTCAACTCCCATTGCTTTTATTTTAATTACAGCTCAGAAAGAGCGAAAATGAAATATTACATGAAAGTGCAGAGGTTCATATATCAGACCCCCCAAAATAACGCAACAGACTGGCGACTCCCTAATAATTCAACATAATTACTTCACTCTGTATTGATTCATAGTAAAATAGACATATTCCATTTTTTATTGATACATTTTTTCAGTTTCTGTGGCAGCGGTTAATCTATTATCAATTAATATTTTAAAAGAGATTATATATTTGATTTCAATCATGTATTAAATAAAGTTATTTATTTATATATATATATATATATATATATATATATATATATATATATATATATATATATATATATATATAAATAAACTTATGTTTTTGGCCGCTCCACACCAAATCTTGTGACCCAATATGGCCTACATTAGTTTTAAACTCCAGTCCTCCAGGACCTGCACCCGTCAAACTTTTCCCAAATTCAACACATCTTAATCAAGACCTGGACTGTCAGGTGGAGGTTTGAAGGAGGACCCAAATGCAGATACTAAGGCTACGTTCACACTGCAGCCTGAAGTGACCCAAATCTGATTTTTTTGGCCCAAATGCGACCTGAATCTGATCTTTTCATGCCAGTCTGAACAACACAGATCCAAATGTTTTCCAATGCGACCCAGGCCTCTTGGCTATGTGGTCCTGAATCCGATACGAATCTGATCTTTTCAAATGCGAACTGTGTGTGAACGGCCAGGTCGCATTCATCCAACCTAAATGTCATTAATACTCGACAAAGGTCACTATTCTGCGTCTTGCTACGAAGAAGCAGCAAGTGATGCAGATGATGATGAGGAGAGCAGTATTTATGTTTAACCATATTGAAAAGATTGAGTTTTTATGGTTAGAAAAAAACGCTAGATGCACGCTGGCATGCTGGCCTGTGATGTCATTGCGTCCTCTACTGCGCATGCGGGACACTTGCATTGTATGACTGCAGTTCACACAGGAGATCACATACAAGTCACATATATTTGCAAATGTGAATGGCAACGCAAAAAAATCGGAATTGAGCATCAAGGCCTGCGGTGTGAACGTAGCCTAAGTGGTTTCTTGAAGATTTAATAACAAAAAGTGTAACATAAGCAAGTACCCAAAACTAGTGAAAACCAGGAATACTCACAATAAGGGGGCAAAGAAATTAGGACAAACCAGCAACAGTGACTGAGCAGCAGTGTTGGGCATGTTACTTTGAAAAATTAATTAGTTATAGTTACTAGTTACTTCTCCCAAAAAGTAACTGAGTTACTAACTGAGTTACTCCACAATAAAAGTAACTAGTTACTAGTAAAAGTAACTATTGCGTTACTTTTGCTTTTCTCGCCCCCGTAAACCTCACCACCGAGCCCCCACCTTCTCGCCGTGTGTTTCCAAAGCCAGCTGAATAGAGCGGACGACAAAGACAAGAACAGCAGAGAGTTTTGCATTTATTGCAACTCAATGTAAATGACATCAGGGGGGACCCCCCTTTCAGAGACAAAGACAGGTATTGGGTGTTGCAGGCTAACAAAGAACCCAAAGACTGCCCATTCCCAAGGCGTGGACCCGCTCATCTCGTTCAGTTTGCATGTTTTTAAAACAAAAACAAGTCAACTCAACGCTATTTCTGACATTTTAAATTGAAAAAAAAAGCATCCAGGATGGGAAGCGAAACGTCTTCAAACTTGGAAACAAACTCCAGTGGTTAGTTTTTATCACTTTTTTAAAATAAGTGTCAAATTCAAAACAAAGTCAGAAACAGCATTAATGATCTGGCCCCAAAAGCTAGGCTGAGCCAAATATAAAGCATTAGCAGCAGGTGGATAAGATCAGTGGTAATGGGTAACTGGGCAGAGTTAAGGCCGATTTATAATCAGAAAATAGGTCGTCTCAATGTGTGTCGCAGGGAAGGCAGATTCGCCTCCACCCCTTCTGCAGACACTCTGGTGCACCTCTCAAAAATTGTAGGTGACCTTAGACAGGAGGCTTCTGATTGGTCAATTCTACATCCACTCTGCTCTATGCGTATTTCCTGTTTGGTACCTTACTGGCTTGTTATGTTTGTATGACAGCCATTGTGGAAAACGACTCGTGAATTTGGACCAGCTAGAAGAGAACGCTGAGACCCTTTTTCCACCTGGATCCCCGCTCTTTTTCACCCTCATTTCCCTCCGTTGTCGCACAAACTTGGCCTCACTTCCTCGCCGCCTCTGCCGTATCTAGACCCACAGCTAGTAGGGATGGGAATTGAAAAGCAGTTCCTGTTCAGAACCGGTTCCATGTGTTCCAATTCCCTGTCACCGTTTGGCAGCTCGCGTAACGATTCTCTTAACGATTCCAGTAGGGGTGGGTATTGGCAAAGAAGTCACGATTCGATTCGAATCACGATTCACATGCCACGATGCGATTCTATCACGATGCATCATGATACTTGAAATATTGCGATGCATTGCGATATTTTCACTGAACACTGTAAGAAACTGTTTTTACCTTCTTTGTTTTTAAAGCCAAAATGCATCCAAGCATCTGACTTGAAATGTGATGGAACCGCGGGGCGAATTTTCATAGTGTCCTCCATGTTTTATTTCATATGACTCGTCGCACTATCCCGCGGCCGGAAATGCTTGTGACACAAAGCAGCGGGCGTCAACACATCCGCGGCGACATCTGCTAGACTGGAAGTTGTATTCCACTTGGTTTGGCTGATGTGCGCCAACCATTAATGTATTTTATTTGTAAATTTTTTTTTTTTTATTAATCGATTCTTGCCTTCAAGAATCGATGCAGTAGATCACAAAAATTAGAATCGCGATGCATCGTCATGATGATTATTTTGCACACCCTTAGATTCCAGGCAGTACCAGAGCCGCTCTGGGAAGCATGACTTGTTTCACATTTTTTACGCAAGTTACGCACATGGCATTCATTAAGCAAGTGCATTCAATAGGGTCCCAGCGTTCTCGCGCACCTCGCTTTTCTAGCGGGTCAAACTTCACGAGTCGTTTTCTGCAATTACGGTCATAAAAACAAGCCGACCTCCTGTCTGCAGCACTGTCTGCGGTCAGCTTCAATTTGGGAGGGGTTCAGTGGAGCGTCTGTGGAGGGAGCATCAACCGAACCCTGACATTCCTGTAGAGCTGTAGTATTGTGGACTGCCGATAGGAGGCGAGGAACCGTGCTAGCATGATGTGTAAATGGTTGCAAGGATCCAAGCTAGCTGCTAACTAACTGCTTGCTGATTTCCTCCTCTCCTCTCCTCTCCTCTCCTCTCCTCTCCTCTCCTCTCCTCTCCTCTCCTCTCCTCTCCTCTCCTCTCCTCTCCTCTCCTCTCCTCTCCTCTCCTCTCCCCTCCCCTCCCCTCCCCTCCCCTCCCCTCCCCTCCCCTCTCCTCCCCTCTCCTCTCCTCTCCTCCATTTTGCTGCCGTCTTCCTGAATCCTTTCTGCATATTCTACTATTTTATAGGAAGGGTTTTAATTAGTGTTGCACCGATACCAGTATCGGACGGGGCCCCAATACTGCCCTAAAATGGTGGTATTGGTATCAGCGAGTACCAACAAATAGGGCACCGATACCATTTTGAGAGCCATAAGTTTATTCAACTATTGTCACCCACTCCTGGTAGGCAATAAAAAGTTCTACTGGATTTACTTTGTATTAGATTTTTTCCTGCTTCACAAAGGTAGGCAGCAGCTTGACAAAGCCATAATGGCAATTATTTTACATTATTATGGTATCGGTATCGGCCGATACTGCACAGCCAGGTATCGGGTATCGGTATTGGAGCCAAAAAATGGCATCGGCGCAACACTAGTTTTAATCTAAAACATGATTAATGTGCGCAAATAAGTAGTAAGGAGTTTTATGGGGCTTCAGGAACTTGGGGCCATAGTCAACCACCTAGTTTTACCAATGGAACACTGCCTCATGCCACCAGTGCAGAGCCTAACATAGGCATTTTTAGAACATTGGAAATTGAAAATCCCTCAACAACCCACCTTCACACCAGGACCTGTTATTAAGCCAAGTGTGCCCACCTAAACCTTTTATATCTCAAATTACTGGGATAAAATTGTATTTATCACATTCCTGGAAAATATCTGATAGTCTCTGCAATGGAAAGGAGTCCATGGACTCTTCTAATAAATAAAATCCAATTATTTTATCTATACAAGGCATTTCAGAAAAAAACAAGTGATCTCAACACACTTCACAGAGTCAGGTTAATTAAATCATCCAGACAGATTGGTTAAAAGTTTTCTATCTAAGGAAACTCAGCTGATTAGAACCTGAGTTCACTCCTCTGGGATGATTGTAGAGTCAATGGACAGTCGCTGCCATTGTTTTGTTAAATCCTTCATAACTAGCATGCATGCACATATGCATAGTTCGCTATGGTTACGTAATGACAGTAGAGATTTATGACTTTAAAACTCTGAGTATTCGCTAATAAATACGACAGAAACGTGATAAATGTTTAAAATTGTTGTTCAATATAACAGGGAAGGAGAAACATCCCAACGTGAAACATTAATGTCACTTCTAGGTTTTCTGGCTGTTACTGTAAACGTATTAGCTTTGCATGTTGGTGGAGTAGGGGACAAACATCGGGGATGATAAATCCCCAACAAACTCAATGTGTTTGCTAACTGGCTTAAAGGAATATGAGTTCAGTGTTTATGATGCACATAATAAAGTTATGGGGGAGCAGAGCACTGGGGGGGCTCCTCACAGAGCTAGTTTAATCATTCCTGAATC